TAGTGAATGTCACTTTTTGTCATTTTCAAATTTCCCACCATTTTGTCCCCCGTACGTCCCGACGTCGCAGGGGACGGAACCCAGAAGACAGATGCCGGCATCCGCCGGATTACATTGCCGGGGACACTGCAGGAGGGACATCGCGGGAGTGCAGGACAAGGTAAGTGAAGAACAGATCCCGGAGCAACGCTGCATGGTATTCCCGAGTGTAGCTCAGGGTTACCGCTTTTGGTACTGAAACTTTACCCCGAGCTACACTCGGGAATACCGTCAGGGAGGCTACAACATGTAGCGGGGCCATTGCTGTTTTCCTTTTAAAGAACTGTTTCCCTTTTAAGACTGCATGCTGTCAGAAAGGGTTTGATTGGCTCAGTTCTCAGCAGTACTGGAGTGTTTGTGGGAGTTGCAGTTTCACCATAGAGGCAGACATTGTAACTTTATGCTGCACAGGACTACAAGGGACCAGGATGCTTTGCAAGGAGGAGGGGGTGGGTGACCCATGTGTTAACATGTGAGAGTTAGGCCCCATATATACGGGATACTTCTGAATGATGGAAACTGACTGCTTTAAAACGTAGGTTAAAAAACGTCTGTTTAGCCGCGTTTGCATAACGTGTTTATGGGCGTTTATGCGTGTTTGCGTTTAGAAGCATTTTTTAAAGATAAGCACAAGAGAACCTCCCAAATGCCCAGAATGCACTGAAAAGTGGTAAATTATTAACTATTTCACACTGTTGCAGAGAAATACAGAGAGTAGAAGCAGAGACAGAAGTATGTGTCGAGATTAGCTTAGGTGTGAGTTGTGCATTAACATTTCTTTTGTATCCAAGGTGTCTGGTGGAAGGAGTCATTAGGTCACCTGGCAGGGGGTCTTCATGAGGAATTTGAGGTGTGAATGGTCATTAACATATCTTTGGTTCCAAGGGTGGGAGAGGTCTGAGGTGTGAATTGGTCATTACAATGTGTGACAAGCTTGGTAGGAACATCCTGTGTTCAGTGTTTTGTCCATCTGAGTACCTTGAAAACGCTTTGCATGCATATTTCATGATGAAAAAAGGCTCTGGACAGCATCAGGTACTGGAAGAGTTACAAAAAATTTCAAACACAAACGCTTATAAACGCGATTTTCCATGTTTAGCCACATTTACAAGCGTTTTGTGTTTGAAACGCTGATAAAATCGACTGCTGAATGCAAGTTTTCTGTGTTCAAAAAAGTGACTGTAAACTCAAATTCCTGTAAACGACTGTAAACAACGATGTGTACATGGACACATAGGAAAACATTAGGGAGAGTTCAGGAGCTGCTGAAAAAAATGCTGAACAGCTCCTAAACGTGGGTTTATCAGCTGCAGTGTACATGAGCCCTTAGTCTGCAGCCCCTACTGTTGAAGTACACTGACACTGTTTTCAGATCAGCAGTGGTTGCTAAGGACAATGGTTATCTACAGCAGCTGAAGTCAGCAGCAACTGTGATGATTGGTACCAGTCACTCGCGATGGCAGTTACCGAAAGCAACAACATCTCCCACCGCAGAGAGAGGTCAGAGTGTTGGAAATGGCAGAGGAGGCGTGTGACTATCCCAGGTGAGGCACCTCAGAGATTGTGCAGCACTGACAACTGACAACAGAAAACACTAGCCAGAGAGACAGAGCCTCATTCATCCCTTCGAGGAGTTAACCCCTGGAGACTGTTCTTCGTGGATGTGGTGAGCAACTGCTAACCTGTGACATGTCAGTCCTTAAGAGCGCTCCACTGATTCACTAACACAGGCCTGTGCATCACATAGACTCACACAGTGTACAATCCTACATTATACACGTGAATTTGGGACTGAGCCTAAAGAGACATCAGGGGACATATTACTGCTGGAGTTGCAGGGGGTTAATACTGATCTATAGCTATACCGGTATATACGTGTATACATGAGTATTGTGTTTATTGATGTTATTGTGCCAATTCTAGAAGGTTTGTGTATTCAGTGCATTTAACTGCTATTTTCCAAGGTAATTTGCAGTCTATTTGCAGAGTTTTACCTCTCTTATTAAATCTGTTATAAAACTTCCCACAAGGTGTACTGGTGTGATGTGGATCCAATATATATATGGTTCATCACTGAAGTAAGGACAGAAGTGCCCGTTAATTCCAGCGGCTCCTTCGGGGTGAGCTCTAAAGGTATATACATGAATATTATGTTGATTGATGTGATTGTGCCAATTCTAGAAGGTTTGTGTATTCAGTGCATTTAACTGCTATTTTCCAAGTTAATTTGCAGTCTATTTACAGAACGTTACCTGTCCTATTAAACCTGTTATAAAACTTCCCACAAGGTGTACTGGTGTGATGTGGATCCAATACTGTATATATAGTTTATCAGTGAAGTAGGGCAGAAGTGCCCGTTAACCCCCCTGGCGGTATTCCCGAGTGTAGCTCGGGGTAAAGTTTCTGTACCAAGAGCGGTAACCCCGAGCTACACTCGGCTTACCATGCGGCGCTGCATAGGGAGTCCCTGCAGGGCTTACCTTGTCCTTCGCTCCCACGATGTGTCCCCTGCAGCGTCCCCGGCCATCTCCTCCGGCTGAAGCCGGCATCCGGCTTCTGTGTTCCGGTCCCTGTGACGTCGGGACGTACGGGCGCTGGCGGTTTTGTTTTTCAAAACAAATTTTACATAGAAAAACATTGCTGTTTCAAACCATTTCACATACATTTTGTCCCGAGTGCTTTGTCCTGCGCCCTGCCTGCATTTTGACTATTCTTTCTGTCTGGAAACTTAGAAAAATCCATGGCGTCCAAAAAGCGTCCCTTTAGGTCAAAAGCGGTTTTAGACCGGCTAGAGAACAGCGATAGTAAATCAGAACCACTTGCAGAATTGAGTGATAATGATTCGTGGGGAAATTCCTCATCAGACACTGAAAACGATTTTGCGACTTTGCTCAGCGGTGTTCGAACTTGGCGCTATATTTCAAATTTCAGTGTTTTTGGTTTGATTATATTATTGAATTAAATGTATTATTATATTATTATTTTTTTATAATGATTTATTAAATTATAATTTATGATTTCATGTTTCAAGTTTTATCCTCCCCGGGATGTTTACTAGACTCTTGTTCGGACAGATTTCAGTGAGTTATTCCTAAAAATTACAGGCCTACAATAAAAAAACTACATATTTCCATGCAAAATAATGGTACCGCTTTCAGCACCAAAAATCTGAAATAATCAGACCGCCAAGGAGGTTAATTCCAGCGGCTCCTTCGGGGGGGTGAGCGCCACAAACATTACACATTTTATTACGTAATTACATAAAATTGAAGATTAAAAAGCAGTCTAGACTGATGAGGATTGTTCTCCACAGATTACCATGTTGTAACTAATAGGCAACAAGCCAAGTATTTCATGAATATGAAATGTAATGACTGGTGGAATGAGTTACAGTTGGTATTTGATATACTGTACATTCGTGTATGTGTAGTGACAATGGCCTTATGATCCATCCACTTCAGATCCAGCGACGTACCTGTACGTTGCTGTAGTTTTGCTGGTTGTATCGGGATGATGCCTACAGCTGCAGAATCACCCCGCTACTGTTTTTTGAGATGTAAAACTGGCATTACAGAAGGTTGTGTTAGAAAGGAGTTATTTGCATACATATCCCAGGGAGCATTGCCTGAAGACTCCAGTGATGTCAATTCTGTGATACTTCACATGCCAATCAGAACCACCAGGCCTCTGCAATTGAGGTCCATTGGACTGAAACAGTACCAGGGGTAGATGTTCGGCAAAGGTCAAAAATTGCTTTAACCTCCTTAGCGGTTTTCCCGAGTGTAGCTTCGGGGTAAAATTTCAGTACCAAGAGCGATAACCCCGAGCTACACTCGGGCTTACCATGCGGCGTTCTCCGGGGGTCCCTGCAGCACTTACCTTGTCCTTCGCTCCCGCGATGTGTCCCCTGCAGCGTCCCCGGCCATCTCCTCCGGCCGATGCCGGCATCCGGCTTCCGTGTTCCCTGTGACGTCGGGACATACGGGAGCCGGAACCGGTGGGAAATTTGAAATTTTTAAAAATGTAATTTTTGCTGTCATTGCTGTTTCAATGCATTTCACATACATTTTGGCCCGAGTGCTTTGTCCTGTGCCCTGCCTGCATTTTGAATGTTCTTTCTGCCTGGAAACTTCCTGGAAAAGTCCATGGCGTCCAAAAAGCGTCCCTTTATGTCAAAAGCGGTTTTAGAACAGCGATAGTAAATCAGAACCACTTGCAGAATTGAGTGCTAATGATTCGTGGGGGAAATTCGTCATCAGACACTGAAAACGATTTTGCGACTTTGCTCAGCGATGTGCGAATTTGCCTCTGTATTTCAAATTTCAGTGTTTTTGGTTTGATTATATTATTGAATTAAATTATTATTATTATATTATTATTTTTTTATGATTATTTATTAAATTATAATTTATGATTTCGTGTTTCAAGTTTTATCATACCCGGGATGTTTACTAGACTCTTGTTCAGACAGATTTCAGTGAGTTATTCCTAAAAATTACAGCCTACAATAAAAAACTACATATTTCCATGCAAAATAATGGTACCGCTTTCAGCACAAAAAATCGGAAAGAATCATACCGCCAGGAGGTTAAAGAAATTGTAAGCTCCCTATTAGATTGTAAGCTACCAGGAGCAGATATAATCAGACTTGTATGGACACTTGTTAAGCCACTTGCCTACCAGGCACTTATACCCCCTTATTTACCAGGCCAATTTTCAGCTTTCAGCGCTGCCGCACTTTGATTGACAATTGCGCGGTCATGCAACATTGTACCCATATGAAATTTTGATCATTTTTTTCTCACAAATAGAGCTTTCTTTTGGTGGTATTTAATTGCCACTGGGCGCTTTACTTTTTGCGCTATAAATAAAAAAATTGCCAAAAATTTGAAAAAAAAAAAAAAAAGTTTCTTTGTTTCTATTATAAAATTTTTCAAACAGGTAATTTTTCTCCTTCACTGATGTGCGTTGATGAGGTAGCACTGATGGGCACTGATAGGCGGCACTGATGGGCACTAAAGGGCACTGATAGGCAGTACTAATGAGGTGGCACGGATAGCCGGCACTAATGAGGTGTCACGGATAGGCGGCACTAATGATGGGTACTGATAGACGGCACTGACTGGCATCACTGCTGGGCACTGACTGGTAGCACTGGTGGGTGGCACTGGTGGGGCAGCACAGGTGGGTGGGGTGGGCACAGGTGGGTGGCACTTCTGGTGGGCACAGGTGGTGTGCACTTCTGGCACAGGTGTGTGAAATTGGGCACAGAGTGGGCACAGAGTGGGTGCACTGCTGGGCACAGGTGGGCGGACCTTGCGGGTGGCACTGCTGGGCACCGATCATCAGGCACTGCACTGATGATCGGTGCCGATCCCCGCTCTGACAACTGCCGGTTCTCGGCAGTACTTTTCCTCACGATCTGACAGCGTGAGGAAAGTGCAGCCGAGAACCGGCACTTGCATTTCCCTCTGATCAGCGTGTCATTGGACACCGCTGATCAGGTGGTAAAAGGCCACTGTGATTGGCCTTTTACCACATCACGTGATCAGCTGTGTCCGTAGGACACAGCGATCACGGAGATCGCCGGGTGCGCGCCCCCTGGGGCGCGCGCAGGAGAGCGCATTCTGGGGGGACGTCATATGACGTCCACTCAGAACTGGCCGGCCGCAGTGCAGCCGTCATTCGGCTATCTGCGGTCGGCAACAAGTTAAAAAGCACAGTGGCTAAGTGGTCAGCACTTCCACCTGGCAGTACAACGATCATTGGTTCAAATACCAACCACGGCACCACCTGCCTGGAGTTTGCATGTTATCCCTGTGTCTGTGTGGGTTTCCTCCAGGTACTCTGACTTTCTCCCAAAGACATGCTGGTAGGATAATTGGATCCTGTCTAAATTGGCCCTAGTATGTGTATGTATGAATGTGAGTTAGGGACCTTAGATTGTACGCCCCTTGAGGGTTAGGGACTGATGTGAATGTACAATATATATGTAAAGTGCTACGTAAATTGATAATGCTATATAAGTACCTGTAATAAATAAAGTGATATTAATTTTTTAAACACTTTCAGCAACTGATTTAATCACTAAGGGCTCATGTACACTGCAGCTGATAAACTGACGTTTAGGAGCTTTTCTGTGTTTTTTTTCAGCAGCTCCTGAACTCTCCCTAATGTTTTCCTATGTGTCCATGTACACATCGTCGTTTACAGGCAGTTGAGTTTACAGTCGTTTTTTTGAACGCACCAAACTTGCGTTCAGGAGTAGATTTTACCATTGTTTCAAACGCCAAACGCTTGTAAACATGGTTAACCACGTTTATAAGCGTTTGCATTTAGAAGCGTTTTTTAACTGTTCCATATCCAGATGCTGTCCAGAGCCTTTTTTCATCATCAGAAATGTATGCAAAGCGTTTTCCATATATTCAAATGGACCCGGTACACCAGCGCAGTCAGTTCCAGGTTTCGCATGAAGGAAAAAATGGTAGAACGTGCCGCATTATGCTCATGATGGGATCCATAGTGAATACAACCAGAAAAGACAGGTCATCTCAACACATACTGCTCTCTCTGCTTCTGCTCTCTCTATTTCTCTTAAAACTTCTGAAATAGTTAATATTAACTATATTTCAGTGCATTCTGGGCATTTAGGAAGGTCTCCTAAGGTTATCTTTTAAAAACGCTTCTGAACGCAAACGTGCATAAACGTGGCTAAACGCAAATAAATGTAGTATGCAAACGCGGCTAAACTGACGTTTTTTAAACTACGTTTTCCAGCAGTCAGTTTCCATTGTTCAGAAGAGTTTTCCAGACACCCCGTGTACAGGAGCCCTTACTGAATATGCAGCTTCTTTATCCTTTAATCCTTGCCTATGTTCCAGTTTATGCTGGCACCATGTCCGCTGCCCTAGGTTTCCTAGGGCAGTGGCTCCTTTCTCTTGCAGCATCCTAACAAGGCACCTTTGTATGCAGAGACTAGAGCTACACTGTGTGCAACAATAGAAACCCACAGCCCCTTGCCTAGGACGGCAAGGTACTCCCCTGCTCCTTCCTCTTCCTCCCCCCTCTTATCTACAAGTTGGCAGACTGATTGAAGACTGCACTGTTCACTGTTAACTTTTTCCTGTAAAGACCAGAAGCAGGGGCGGACTAACCATTCGAGCACTCGGGCACTGCCCGAGAGCCCAGGGTCAGTAAGGGGCCCCATGAAATTCCCCTGGTACCTTTTTTATAGGCTTTTTTTGGGTGTTTTTTGAATGTGGGCATGGACACAGGGGCCCCATGATCCCCTATTGCCCGGGGCCCCATGAGTTGTCAGTCCGCCCCTGACCAGAAGTTCAGGGAAGCACCACTGAGAGAGCAGAAACCAACATCATTGATAGGAAAGAAAGACGCCGCACAAAACCAACCAGGGCTTGGTCACAGAGGTGGGGAAGACGAGCAGAGCAAGAGCTTATATGTACATCATCAGCCATTATGGGAAACAAGTGTGAGTGTTATAATACTGACAAGCTGACTGTGTTTGGTGAAAATATAGTAAAAAGAATACTAATGTGCCCAGTGTACTTCAGTGCAATTCATTTCAACTTATTATGTGACACCAAATGGAATACTGCTGCTGACATTATATGCGTTCCCACATACAGTAAAATTAAAATCAAAGTTAAGTGCTGCGCAATGTGATGAAAAATAAAATATATACAATGACAAAACAATATTATCATGTACCATGTATAGTATATAAAATATAATAACATTGTGTAATCAGTAAATGAAGTCTAATATTAAAATCATCAGTCTTTGAAAATAATATGCAGGATCCTTCCCTCATCTGTGCTGATCCTCCACTTCAGTACTATGTGCTCATAAACACCCTCATGTGTGCTTCCTCCACCGGCTTACATATATACTCTCACCCAGGGGCGGACTGACAACTCATGGGGCCCCCGGGCAATAGGGGATCATGGGGCCCCTGTGTCCTTGCCAAAACTCAAAAAAGCCTATGAAAAAGGTACCAGGGGCATTTCATGGGGCCCCCTACTGACCCCGGGCCCTCGGGCAGTGTCCGAGTTTCCAAATGGTCAGTCCGCCCCTGCTCTCACCTCCTGTGTATGATCTGTTACTTCAGGTCAGATAGCGCTTTTTCTTTTTAGCCTGGGTAGGTATAGCATCCGGCACTCTCCAATCCCCGGTGTACTTCAACCGCCTCCCGCCCTCCATATAAGGAAATGATGGGAAGGCGGTGGTTCTCTAGTTCTGGGAGGATGTCATATGTCATCCTCCCACCCCCATGGGGCGCGCAGCGATCGGTGGTGCGTTGGGTCCCTGGGACACAGCGGATCACCGATCTCAGTAAAGAACTGATGGCGTCGGCTCTATTATGTTATCAGCTGTGTCCAATCGCAGCTGATTGCATGTAAATAGGAAATGGCGGTTATTGGCAGTCCTCTCCTCCTGCTGACAGCGCATGAGGAGAGGAGAGCCAGTAAGTGGCATTCCTAAGAGGGGACATCTACACTGATCATCAGGGCACTGATCATCAGTGTAGCCCCATCAGGGCCACCTGTCAGTGCCCATCAGTGCACATCAATGCCATATATTAGTGCACATCAATGCCATATATCAGTGCCCATCAAAGCTGCCTTTCAGTGCTGCCTATCAGCGCCAGTCAGTGCTCCCTTTCACTGCCCATCAGTGCTGCCTATCAGTGCCAGTCAGTGCTCCATATCACTGCCCATCAGTGCCACCTATCAGTGCCAGTCAGTGCCGCCTATCAGTGTTCAGCAGTGCCGCATATCAGTGCCACCTAACAGTTCCAATCAGTGCCGCCTATCAGTGCCAATCAGTGCCACATATCAGTGCCATATATGAGTGCTGGCTTTCAATGCTCACCAGTGATGCCTGTCAATGCCCATCAGTGCCTCCTCATCAGTGCCACTATCAGTGCCCATTAGTGCAGCCTATCAGTGCCCATCAGTGCAGCCACATTAACGCACGTCAGTGAAGGAGCAAAATTACCTATTTACAAAATTTTATAACAGAAACTAAGGAAAACTTTTTTTTTTTTTTCAAAATTTTCAGACTTTGTTTAGCAAAAAATAAAAAATCCCAGTGGTGATTAAATACCACCAAAGGAAAGCTCTATCTGTATCAAAAAATGATAAAAATGTTGTTTGGTACAGTGTTGCATGACCGCACAATTGTCATTCAAAGTGCAACAGTGATGAAAGCTGAAAATTGGCCTGGGCAGGAAGGGGCTAAAAGTGCCCGGTAGGCAAGTGGTTAATCCATATCCATCCTCTTGAACCATACACGATATATCCTTCAAATTTTAGACAGAAAATGCTATCATCAGAACACGTGACTTCATCAGGGGATTCCCCATAGTACTGAAGTGGATGATCACCATATATGAAGGAACGAGTATCCTGCGTATTATTTTCAAGGACTGATGGTTTTAATTTTGGACTTCACTTATTGATTACACAATGTTATTATAATATATATATACTATACATGGTACGTTATATTGTAAAGCGCTGAACAAACTGTTGGCGCTATATAAATCCTGTATAATAATAATAATAACTAGAAAATCTACAATTTCTGGGGAAATTGTGTGAAGTGTTCTTGCCTCCACCAGTAGTCTACAACTCACACTCTAGCTTTTGTCACTCTGCTGCCTGCTCACACACCTGGGTTCCTATGGCAACTCACTCTACAACAAGGGCAGAGAAGAGCGGTTAAAAACAAACTGCTCCAACTTGCTCACTTCACTGGCGGTTGCCATCTTCAAACGGTTGTAGTTTAAAAACTATAAATCCTACACCAAAGAGCCTTATATTGTGAGAATCGCAAGACCCCGACCTTCATTGTTGATGCATAGTATGTCTCTGAAATATTAAAAATGAAGGCACAGTCCCAGTTTAGAAATTGCCCTTCAAATTTCAGGTGGCTAGAGTGGAGTTTCAATGAATGTCAATAGGCGGCGTGAGTTGCAAACAAATGGTCATATTGTGAAAACTATCAGGACTATGGCTTAGCTGTGGACATTTTTTAGTGGCAGCAGGGATAGCTGAATGTTTTGATATAAGACTTGTGTAGTTACCTAGAAAATGAGGGAGTGATGGCAGTTTAGAAATCATGTCCTGATTTTTCAGCTCACACTCTAGCTTTTGTCAGCTCCCACTCTAGTTTTGAACATTACGCCATTCATTCCTATGGGACCAATTTCACCACAAAAACGCAGATATTTTGTGAACCATTCGGCGAAGTAATAGCACACCAATCGGGAACAATCCGCACGTTTCGGTATATTACTGTCTATGTAGTGTAAAAACTGTGGGAGGAGTTAGGGTGGTAAATTTGGCTATAATAAGAATAAGAATATATATGTGAGATAACAGGAAGTGGTCTTGCCATGCAAGAACACTTAATGATAGCAAATGTTTTATTAAGCAATGAAATAAATAGATAGGAGTGAGTAGAGCAGCTTTCACCCTCTGTTCTCCAGGTAGATTTATGCTCATAAAAAAAAATGCTGGCATTTTTTTCTTGATTATTTTCAGGGGGTGATGTAAAAAAAAAGAATTTTCTACTTTAAAAGGAATTGTGTAATGATTTATGCCTTCATAAATGCGTTCTGTTCCTAAGACATTAAAGAGTCGAATATCTGGTGAAGCACCCTCGTTGAATTACTGTGAGTTTGCAGAGTATGGGATTGTGTTTACTTATATTCGCATTAACGGCAAGCAGGTCTGTATTGATCTGAACCCTGCAGGGTGAGATGAACATGGAGAATGCATGGTCCTGTCAGCTTTGATTAATGTATAATAGTCTGACAGCCCATAGGCTGAGAAAACAGCCCTTCCTCACCATGATACGTGACGAGGATCTGCTAAGACCTGTCCTCGGCTGGAGTCCATAGACAATGAATTGAGCATACAACACGGTGTCCGTGTTTCATCCTTCATTTATTGAAACAAACCTGACTTTGATTCAGAGGGAAAAAACAAATTGTTCTTTTATTTCTTTGCCCAAAATCCGGAGACGTAACCCCGATCCATCTCATATGTGGCATGCGAATCATGTAATAAGCAAACTTTGAGCTTAATATAAGGATTAATATGGAACATTGACAATCAAAAGTAAAATGTATAAATGTGTAAAATCTAATGGAAGTGTAAAGTTAGAGCCACACATACCTTTTATTGAGAAATGTTAGTTGTAACCCCTCCCCACTCCCCCACCCATGTAAACAGCTGTACATAAAATGGGTTTGATATACCTATCGTGATCTAAATTAAATGGGGTTGCTAAAGGAGAAAAAAAAAAGGTCACCTAGGCCAGTGATCCTGGGAATTTCCCTTTCTCATGGTTGAATGATTGAAGTGAACATGACTAGTGCATAAGAGATATGCTAGTGAAGACCCCCTATACCACCGTCTTACTCTCTCACATACCCCCTTAACATACCATTAAAGGAAAAACATAACACCAACTGGAGTAAAATGGCCAACACGGCCTTTTATTAACAATTCAACTTCAATACAAAAAACATTCCATAAAACAGAAACATACATGGGAAGTTGTTGGTCTTCAAAGGCACCAAACAAAAACCGATATCCCCCTGTGGAACCTATATTATAACTAAGCCTCCAACCGCAACGCACCGGCTCGGAGACAAAAACATACCATCCGCAATACAGAACCTCCACCTTCCAGTTAACCTCCCTGGCGGTATGATTATTTCAGATTTTTGGTGCTGAAAGCGGTACCATTTTTTTGCATGGAAATATGTATTTTTTTTATTGTAGGCTGTAATTTTTAGGAAAAACTCACTGAAATCTGTCCGAACAAGAGTCTAGTAAACATCCCGGGTATGATAAAATTTGAAACACAAAATCATAAATTATAATTTAATAAATAATCATAAAAATAATATAAAAATAATAAAAAATTTAATTCAATAATATAATCAAACCAAAAACACTGAAATGTGAAATATAGCGCCAAGTTCGCACATTGCTGAGCTCAGTCGCAAAATCGTTTTCAGTTTCTGATGACGAATTTCCCCCACGAATCATTATCACTCAATTCTGTAAGTGGTTCTGATTTACTATCGCTGTTCTCTAGCTGATCTAAACCGCTTTTGACCTAAAGGGACACTTTTTGGACGCCATGGACATTTCTCAGTTTCCAGGCAGAAAGAACAGACAAAATGCAGGCAGGGCGCAGGACAAAGCACTAGGGACAAAATGTATGTGAAATAGGTTGAAACAGCAATGTTTTACTGTGTAAAATGAAAAAAAAAAAAAAAGACATTTTTTAAAATTTTTAAATTTCCCCCGCCGGCGGCGGCGCCCGTACGTCCCGACGTCACAGGGACAGGACACAGAAGCCGGATGCCGGCATCGGCCGGAGGAGATGGCCGGGGACGCTGCAGGGGACACATCGTGGGAGCGCAGGGTAAGGTAAGTGAAGAACACATGCCGGAGCAGTGCCGCAGGGTAAGCCCGAGTGTAGCTCGGGGTTACCGCTTTTGGTACTGAAATGTTACCCCGAGCTACACTCGGGAATACCGCCAAGGAGGTTAAACCTTGGTTAACTGGAATGCACCCGGGCACACCTTACCACCGATGGGTCCCAACCATTAGCTTTAGCTTAAAAGTATGTGCCGCCTCCAAAGAGCACCAACCTCCCCCGGAACCAGAACAAAAACCAGGAATTGAAAAAACACCCACACACACACCCCAAGGGAAGGCGGGAGGGAAGCTCGCTCCACCTCAGTCTCTTCCTGTACTTAACTGGATGACTCTCCCCATCCACACCCAAAGGTGTCGAAGATCACACCCTGCACACCCTTCACCAATCAGGTAACTTACCCATATTCCAACTCCCACCTTTTTTCTTTAACCCTTTCCTGTCTTTCCAACCTCCCTCTTAACCTAGTCATGTCTGCCCTGCGCTATTTTTCTATTTCCTCCTTTTCGCTACGGGCATCTCTTTCTAAATGCTGGTTCACACCACATCAGACACCTCCATAGATCAACGCAGGTTCATCTCCAGGGTACAAAGAAAACAACTGTTCTTTATGTGCCATGCT